GCCCCAGGCTGTGGTTTGCTTTGTCGCCCTTCCGCTTCCTTAATTGTCACCGGGTTTAGTGATGCTGATTGGGCTGGCAGTTGGACTAATTGTTACTCTACTTGTGGCTATTATACCTTTGTTGGTGATAATCTTGTTACTTGGAGAGGTAAGAAGCAGAATGTGGTGGCTCGTTCTAGTGTCGAGGCTGAATACCGAGCTATGGCTCATATGGCTTCTAAGATGTGGGTTCGCTTCCTTCTCCAAGGTTTTGGTGTTCATGTTCCCACTCCTATGCACATGCGCTGTGATAATCAAGCTGCTATTTTCATTGCCAACAATCATGTGTTCCATGAACGCACGAAACATATCAAGGTTGATTGTCACTTTATTTGCGATATGCTATTGCTGAAAAAATTGTTGATTCCTTATGTTCGCTCTAACGACCAATTGGGTGACATTCTCACCAAACCTTTACCTCGTCCAGCTTTTCAGCAGTTATTTGCCAAGTTGGGCATGTTCAATCTCCATGCTCCATCTTGAGGGGGTGTATTAGAATTGTTATGTTATTTTTTATTGAGGGTATCCTTGTCATGGTGACATTGGTGTTTTAATATAAGTATGTCCTTGGTGGGGGTTTTGTATTATGACCCAATAACCTATTTACCATATTCTCTCTTCTCCTCTTCTTTTCTCTTTCCTCTCTAGTCCTGACTCTAATTTCTTGAACTTTGCATTTTAACTCCAACAATGATCATTCCCATTTGCCTTTTTGTCTAAAGAAAAAATTTGAGAACAAAAAAAATATCTTATATTTTTTAGAAAATCTAAGAAACTTGAAAAGAGAATAGGAGAGCTAGAGGGGTGACCATAAAGCAAGCATATTAAGTCACTTATTCTATCACCATAAAATACTTTTTACCCATAATACTACAAGAAGTTTGCATTTTTTTTAATGTTATTTTCTTATAATGGAAAAACCCCTTTCCCAACTAGGCCTTTAAACCTTTTACGTTATGAGCTTCTAATATTCATAGAGAACTCTTTTTGAATTTATTTAGAAGAAAAAGTGGAACTATATCATTATGTTCAATTATTTAATTATTAAGAATGTATTAGCATTCTTAGAGGTTTTAGTTTTTTATTTCCAAACTTTGTCATACATTTGCAAATTCTTTTGTTATTTCCCTTATGGTTTTGAGATATTTCCAAAATGTTATTGTTTCCAAGTAATTGGAACAACAGACCACAATAAAATTTTGATCCTTGTCTATGGGTTTCTTTAATAATCTTCCTCAAGTAAGTACCCCAGATTCTTAATTTTATGTCGATGCATGTGTGTGTTTGCATCATGGTTCTTTCATGAAGTAGATTCACTTTTGATTTCTTCGTATATGTTTAGGTAGGAGCAACTTCCAATTTGGTGTCATGTGAAACACGATAAAATCCATAGTCAAAGAGGCAATTACCTTAAATTGTTATGAATTATTGCTTATACTTATCTATATAGTCTATCGTTTTAGTTAATTATCTAATATAACCCCTTTTAGATCCTATAGTAATTAACAATTAGTGTTAAAATTTAGTTTGATATTGAAAGCCTTTAAATTTTTCTATATCTTTCATTTCTATGGAAATGGTTCTTCTGTCTACTAAATTAATGTCTTCAGGCATAGTTGGATAAGTTAGTAGCTTTCTTTGTTTTAATCACTCAACATGCCATTGCATGTTGGTCAGGTGGCATCTTTGTTGTATTCAAGTTGACAAGGTGATGGCCATCAATGGCATGTTGCTAACATGGATGCCATAATTTGTTTCAGTACACCATTTTTTTCGTTTGGATATCAACTTCTGAACAAAAATCAAATTTTCGAATATTGACTTTTGAACAAAACCTAATTGTTTGGATATGAAATATTGAATAGGGTTTTTGTTTGGAAGTTGATATTCAAAATATTGATTTTTCTACGGAAGTCGATATCCGAATGAAAAATTGGTGTACCGAGACAAATTGTGCTATGCTTATAAAATTACCCCATTGATAGCCATAGCCACCTGTTTGACATGTTCTTGCACGTCACTTGTGTGGCACTTGTAGTGATGCTTACACAAAGTTGAATATTTAAACCTATTTTGATTTAGGTTTTGTATAGGCTTAAATATTTAAACCTATACAAAATCTGTCTTATTAAAACCACAGGCTTCTTTTGAAGATAGGATTTTAAAAGGGTCTTCATCCTAGGTATCTATGCTATATTGGTCACGGTGTGGTAGCATTTCCCAACCCCTCAACGAATTAAGATCTCGATGGTTCACATTTCATCTCAAGTAAGAAGTCTTGTGATAGAGTCCTCTTTTGGGTGTTTTCTCACCAAACGCACGCTAGACCCAAACAAACGACTCTTTCATTTCATAACATTGATGCCCCTTGCAATTGTATCAAAAATTCCAAAAAATAGATGTTGAATCTTCTTCACTATCCTAAATCAAATGTTCAAAGATTGTTCTTCATTTGGAGAGGAAAGCAGGCCATGAATTTTTTGGGAATAAAATAAGGTCTTCTTTTTCGCTCAATTTTTCTTTTTACATTTTTTTGTATACAAACATAGATTTGTGATGTTAGATTGTTGAAACATGCTTCTCATAGATCTACATCGAATTACCTTAGATCGATGTATAAACTTGCATTTTTCTACTTTCTTTTAATTTTTTTTAGATAAAAAAAGTTCCTAATTTTGAAGCATCTTTATAGATCCATGATGTGTTTAACCAATTCAAAAGTTTTGAAATTAGTCCATGTTTAACAATCTATGATGTTAGATTGTTATACTTCTCATAGATCTAGATTAAATTACCTTAGATCTATGTATAGACATGCATTTTAAATTTTATATTTTAGATAAAAAGTTCCAAAATTCCAAACATCTTTATAGATCTATGACGTATGTAAAACCAATTTAATTATAAATTGGAAGGAAGTCTATGTTAGGATATGCAAGTTTTACAAAGTTCTGCATTTGGAGAGGACAGCAGGCAATGAATTTTAGGGAATAAAATAAGGTTTTATTTTTCCGTGAATTTTTCTTTTTACATTTTTTGTGTACAAACATAGGTTTGTGATGTTAGATTATTGAAACATGCTTGCTTCTCATAGATCTATATCGAATCACCTTAGTTCGATGTATAAACTTGCATTTTTCTATTTTCTTTTAATTTTTTTTAGATAAAAAAGAAGTTCTTAATTTTCAAGATCTTTATAGATCGATGATGTATTTAACCAATTCAAAAATTTGGAAATAAGTCCATGTTTAACAATCTATGATGTTAGATTGTTATGCTTCTCATAGATCTAGATTAAATTACCTTAGATCTATGTATAGACATGCATTTTTTTAAAATTTTATATTTTAGATAAAAAGTTTCAAAATTCTAGACATCTTTATAGATCTATGACGTATGTAAAACCAATTTAATTATAAATTGGAAGTGAGTCTATGTTAGGTTATGGAAATTTTACAAGGTTATGCATTTGGAGAGGAAAGCAGGCCGTGTATTTTTGGGAATAAAATAAGGTTTTCTTTTGTTAAAATTGATGTATTATTTATTGTTATTTTGATATATTACAATGATTCCTATATATAGAAGAGAGGATGTGGGAAGAGAATAGGTGAGTGTGTAGTAGGTGAGGAGTAGGTGGAGAGTAGGTGAAGTAGGTGAGTGTGTAGTAGGTGGTAGTGGTAGGTGTGTAGTAGGTGAATTTTAACAGCCCCCCGCACATCTTTATAGATCTATGACGCATGTAAAACCAATTTAATTATAAATTGGAAGTGAGTCTATGTTAGGTTATGGAAATTTTACAAGGTTATGCATTTGGAGAGGAGAGCAGGCCGTGTATTTTTGGGAATAAAATAAGGTTTTCTTTTTCCCTCAATTTTTCTTTTTAGATTTTTTTGTATGCAAACATAGATTTGTGATGTTAGATTGTTGAAACATGCTTGCTTCTCGTAGATCTATATCGAATATATATATTTTATGAGTTGCTTTCAAATTTATGAAATTTATTCTCTTAAAATATTGAAAAAATTACATTACAGAACCAAAAAAATAAAAATAAATCATAAAGGTATGATGTATCGAAATACTAATAAGTTGCAAGAAAATCACATCTTTGGTTCCCAACTATTTCAAGAAAATTTTTAGGGTAATTTGCACTAAATTAGTAGTCTTGGATTCTATTGAATAGTTATCATTCAATTGTCCTACAATTCTAGTAGATAATGCGAATAGCACCTTTTATTTTATTTACTTATTTATTTTTTAGGGTCTCAAGTGTTTATTGGTGTATTTTGTTTATTTATTGCTTCTTTTGTTTCCAATAGTGATATTACACAACTTGGAGGAATGCCTCCTAGCCAATACACCCCCCAATTTGCTAGAGACGTAGGATCCCCCTTCAGATTCTTCTTGTTGGTATGTCATTTCATTTGTTTGTGTAACTATTGTATTAGTGTGTTGCTGGAAATTTGTGTTAATGCATATAATAAGATAGTGGCATATGATAGTGGTGTTGGTGGTAGATAGTGGCATGTATAGAATATGATAGTGGTGTTGGTGGTAGATAGTGGCATGTATATAATATGATAGTGGTAGATAGTGGTAATATATAATATGTAAGTGGCATATAATGGGTTATAGTGATGTTTGTAATATCTCCTATATAAGGAGTGTCATTTGGTCTTGTAAAATAAGAAGTTTTGAATATAACAGAAATATATTCCTTCTTCCTCATATTTTTAGAGTTCTTCTTCCTCATATTTTCTAAGTTGGTATTAGAGCTATAAAAAACACAGCAGCCCTAAAACCGTCATAGCCATGTCGGAAGTCACGTCCGAAACCACTTCAACCCTTGCCGCTGCCATTCCGGTGAAAACGCCCAACTCTCACTCTGTCCAAATCACCACAATCCGCCTAAATGGTGATAATTTTCTCATTATAGTGGTTAATATTGTTCTCTCTAGCATTTGCCTTACCTAAAATAAACTTAGGGTATCCAGCAGGACAGCTTCACATGTCATTGAAGAGCTTAATAAGATGCTGGCATTCAATAATTTACTGATCTCATTGGGGAAGCATCCTGATGCCAGTCGCTTTGCTCGTGGGGTTGGGCCAGTGAATTTAATAGGTAGGGATGCTAATTGATTGTTTTGTGTTCCTCGTGGAGATTATTTAGTTCTACTGCTCATACATCCTGAATCTGCTTGCTGGCATTACTTCTTAAAAACTGCTAGCTGAAGTTAACACAGACTTTTTGGCTTAGGTGGTGAGTATGATGGTGATAGACAGATGGATGACTTGAAGCTCCTATTTAGAGCATATGTTACGGATGCACTATCAAGTGGTCGCATGGGAGAGAATAAGGTGACTTTCCCTTGGGCAAAGATGTTGCTTTACTTAAATCCAATTGTGGATTATTCTGTAGAGATGTTTATTTTCTCAAGCCATTTAGTCTAGCTGTGAGGCGAATTATTAATTCTGTATATACTGTATCAACTTTCAACTGATCAGATAACTATTCCACTAAATAAACTGTAGTAGTTTTTTGTTTGGTGAAAATTTTCAGACACTATGCTGCGTGTTTGTTGGTTGCAATATGAGCTGCACTTGTGCTACCTGATGAATATTGATGCTGACTTGTGTAGTTCTTTTGTTTGTGCAGTGGATTATGTTTGCTTTGTCCATGTAATGTATTTAGGCCAGCAACACACTTCACTGTTTAACTACGCACATAACGGTTTAGAAGATCCAGTTTCACAAATTTTGCATAGTACTACTGAGAGGATTATTACAATCATTTAATGATTTTCGAATGAACCTAACCTTTTTCTGGAAGAGCATATGTGCCTCTAATCTAATTATAAAATGAATGGAAAAATGTTTTTAAATAGAGTGTCATTGGAATAAGGATGTTGATCTGGCCATGTGTCCACAAAAGAATCAATAACTCATAAAAGAAAGAAAATATCAACAAAGATAGAAGAAGAAATGAGTTCATTTGTGATAAGCTTAAATTTGCATTAGCACCAAGCAGAGGAAGATAAAAAACTGATGATTTGGTATTGTGCCACAAAGATAAATGACTGCACCTATAGGGAGTATGGCTCAAGGATAAGCAGTTATAAGAACCGGTGGAAGGCCTTAAATATAAGTTGAGGAGGTGAAAAGACATGATGGCTTGAACCTAACTGGGAGGAGGTCATAACCAGAGTTTAATGGCACATAAGGTTATGAGCTTTTGTTGCTGACCCTTGTTGGGTATGCAAAATGCAACATCAGGAGTTAATTCTTTGTTAATTTTATTTTATGAACTTAATGATGTATTCTTCAAATTCTAAGGGAATAAAGCTAATAGTGTATTTCCTAAATTTGAAGAGAAATATAACAAGTGTGTTATGTGTCTCTCTAGTTTTAAGTTGAGACTACTTTATTGTATATCTTTATCTAAAAAGGTGCATGTAGACTAGTGTTGCTTAAAAGATATTAAGTTGGTGCAAGAATTGTTGGTGTTGGGGGGACCTTGATCTATGACTAAGGGTTGGTTTGGGATGTTCTAAAAAAGTGTACTTTTTGACTTATTGGCTTATATGGGTTGGGTTTGGGTTGGGTTGGGTTTGATGTGATGTGTTAGAGAAGTGATGTGATTTAAATAAGATGATGTGACTTAAATAGGATAGTGACTTTTTAACTTTTTGTATTATTTAGGTTATGCCAAACTTGGCTTAAAACTCATTTGACATCAAAATGAATTCCTAATTTCTTCTGGTTTTTTATGTTGTCTGGGTGCTTGCTTTTTCTGTCTTCTGTTTTTATGTTTGACAGTCATTTAATTTTTTTTAACCTTTATTTTTTCTCTGTTTGTAGCTTGCTGCATTGAACCAATTGAGGAATATATTTGGTTTAGGTAAACGGGAGGCAGAATCCATTATGCTGGATGTTACTTCAAAAATATATCGTAAACGACTTGCTCAGTCTGTATCAAGCGGTGATTTAGAAGCTGCTCAGAGTAAAGCAGAATTCCTTCAAAACCTCTGCGAGGAGTTGCACTTTGATCCACAGAAAGCTATTGGGATCCATGAAGGTCAGATAGATTGTACATTTTATCATCTACACTGAAATTGCTGTTCTGAACTTGTTGCATGCAGCAGTAGACGTTCCCTGTTGTTGTTTGAGCTTTTCCACCATCCACACATGCTTGCATGTCAAATGGTAGTCAGCAACTTCTTTTTAGAGCTGCACTGTAAATATCTTTTCTACCAATTAGATACGGTACATACCATGAATGTGAAGTGAAACATGTACTGTAACATGGAGTAGCAGAGGAAAGGAATGTAAATCTTTTGTCATGTGCCTTGATATTAATTGCTCTAAATGTTTTCCCAATTTTTTTTAGTGAACTTAAATCACAAAAAAGTCTGATTTGTTTATGTTCATTTTTATTTTAGAAATTTACCGGCAAAAGCTTCAACAAGCTGTTGCTGATGGAGAGCTCAGCAAGGAAGATGTTAGATCTCTGGAGCGGTTGCAGATCATGCTTTGTATTCCTCGCGAAACTGTTGAAGCAGTTCATGAAGATATCTGTGGCAGCTTGTTTGAAAAGGTAAGCATGATAGCTTCTTTCATGTCGATGTAGCTTGTTATATAATGTGTTTTAACTAGAAAAACTACCATTATGCAGTGTTTGGTCTCTGAGTGAAAGGTTGCTGGGAGGGTAGATTAGGTATTGGGTAATGGCTAAACTTTCCGCTACCCTCTTCCTTAAATTTCTACACCCTGAGCTTTAACTATTGACCAAGGCCATGACTCTATTGCCTACCCTTACTTAGCTGCAACAATTTCTCCATTACCATTCCTACCATGAGTTAGCTGGTTAAGCAAATATTGTTTATATCACAATCATAATCGTATCGGTCTTTAGCCCCTCCAGTTTGGTAACACCCTGGTTTACTGTTGGGATAAAAAATCATATGCGAACCGGCCGGTTTGCGACATGTATTGGCCTAAACCAAATAAATTGTTGATTTATCAGGAAACTGGGCCAGTTCAGTAGCTATTCAAATTGTTTAACTTGTTTATATAATTGTATTTAACGTTATAATTATTTGTATTTTTTGTTGCATAATTACTATAAAACAAGTAAGGTGCTTTTTTATCCAAAAAAGGATTAAAAATATAAAAAGTACAATCCTTTTTTGCCAAGTCCACATATCTTTCAATTAGAAGCTTGATGAACCCAAAGGCTCCCTTACCCGATAACCGCATACAAGTCCGTGTAACATAGATCTTCCTAGAATAACAAATAGATGATATCCAATGTAAATTGAGGAACAAGAACAAGAAATGGAAGTGGAGGCAAAAAATTTCCCTCCTCTCCCCTTGAAAGATGGTGGAGACTCCGATCGAGCCTAACTTGAAGTTATAAGCTGCTAAGGCTGAAGAAGTCAAAGAGAGGGAACAATATCAGCGACTTGTCGGGAAATTGATTTACTTGTCTCATACGCGGCCTGATATTGCCTTTGCAGTCAGCATGGTAAGTCAGTTCATGCACTCACCAGGGGCAGAGCACTTTGAGGCCGTTTATAAGATCTTAAGATATTTGAAAGGAACTCCAGGGAGAGGCTTACTGTTCAAGAAACATGGGCATCTTCAAGTTGAAGTATACATAGATGCAGACTGGGCAGGAAGTGTTACAGACAGGAGATCAACATCCGGATATTGCTCCTTTGTAGGTGGGAACCTAGTTACATGGCGGAGTAAAAAACAGAATGTTGTAGCTAGAAGTAGTGCAGAAGCAGAGTTCAGAGCTGTTGCCTATGGAATCTGTGAAGTAATGTGGATTAAAAGAATTCTTGAAGAATTAAAGCTTTCTCACCCGACACCTATGAAGGTCTATTGTGACAACAAAGCAGCTATATCTATAGCTCATAATCCAGTTCTACATGATCGCACAAAACATATAGAAGTGGATATTCATTTTATTAGGGAAAAGGTTAGGACGAATGTTATAAGTTCATCATTTGTCCCTTCATTGGAGCAACTCGCTGATATGTTCACCAAATCGGTTGGTCCAACCTTATTACAGTCTTTCATTGTCAAGCTGGCTATGGAAGATATCTTCAAACCAGCTTGAGGGGGAGTGTTGGAAATTTGTGTTAATGTATATAATAAGATGGTGGCATGTATATAATATGATAGTGGTGTTGGTGAAGGATAGTGGCATGTATAGAATATGATTGTGGTGTTGGTGGTAGATAGTGGCATGTATATAATATGATAGTGGTAGATAGTGGTAATATATAATATGTAAGTGGCATATAATGGGTTATAATGATGTTTGTAATATCTCCTATATAAGGAGTGTCATTTGGTCTTGTAAAATAAGAAGTTTTGAATATAACAGAAATATATTCCTTCTTCCTCATATTTTTGGAGTTCTTCTTTCTCATATTTTCTAAGTTGTGTTTTTTTATTATTATAATCGAGTTTGATCTTGTGATGCTTGCCATTTTGAAGTTGTTACAAAATTATAAAATTATTTCTCCCCATGTTCCCAAAGTTTCCACTTGAAAATCAGAACACTAAAAGGGTTTTCATCATAAAAATTTTATCTTTTACTTGCGGTGGGAGGCTTGTGTTCCTTAATCCCTTGGTATATAAAATGCTGGTGCCATGGATATCACTACAAGCCCCTTAAATCTCTAGAATAGTTAAAAGTGTCATGTCCATTTCTATAAAAAAAAATTTATAACAAAAGGATTTCTGATCTCATATCTTTTCACCAACACCTAGAAGAATGTTGTCTACACTATGTGTACCACCCTTGGTAATTAAGCTTCCTAAAGTTTGCTCCAACATGAATTGCTACTTCATTCTCCATTGTCTTTCTTGGATTTTTTTGGTTCAAACCTCAATTATATTGAGCACTAGTGTACCTAAAATCATTGATGACATCATCTGCAGCTTCACTTTTAATTTATCACTAGGCCATATATGTAATATATTTGTATTCCTTTTGATAAGTACGGTTGACATAGAATGTTTTAGGGAAATTTAGCTATAAACCCCTTTTACCTTCCTTTCATTGTTAAAAGGACTAAGAAAAAAATTATATTTTCTAAACCCCCTCATAATTATAAAATTTTGCATAAAGGACAAAATTTATTATTTAAATATTTTATTAGACTATTATACCCTCAACTAAATTTCCTCACCTTCTCCACTCTTTTTTCCTTCTCTCTTCCATTCCTAGGGTTTGGATTGGATTCGTTCGAAGCTCTCGTGATTTCAACCAAAACTGTGAATATACCTAAATCACTCTCAGTTGCAGAGAATTTTCTTTGAATGGCGCATAGGTTTCGCAGTGGAAGAGATCATCGGAGATGATCAGAGAAAGCTTCGACGACGTCGACGTATCGCCTTCCAATTCTCATGAAGTTCATGTTCTTGTCGTTGATGATAGCCTCGTCGATCAAAAATTCGAATTGTGAAAGAGTATAGAGATGAATCGCGTGACTGTTCAAAATTTTCATATTTGAACACAGTTCTTCAGATTTTTCATATATATATGTGTGTGTTTGTGTGTGTGTGTGTGTGAGGGAGAGATTTTTCATTTGGATAGTGTTGTTAAGTTCTTAAATTGATCTATTGATGAGTTGTTACTATGTTTTCTCAACTTTTTGTTGTAAAATTGTTTTTGATTTTGATAAATTTGTGTCGTGAGTGAGCAATATGGATTGTATATATGTAATAGATAACAGAGAAGCCAAAGAGGTGATACGAAAGAGGCAAGTAACTGTGAAGAAACAGAAGAACAATGGCTGTGAATGATCTAATTTCATTTGATAGAACCAGAGTATAATTTTACTCTGGTTCTATTGCTCTGTTTTTTTTATTTGACAGAACCAGAGTAAAATTTTACTTTTATACAGAGTAAAATTTTACTTAGCTTCAGAGTCTCACATTTTACTTGTTTTTCAGAGTAAAATTTTACTTTTATACAGAGTAAAATTTTACTTTTAGTTTCAGAGTGTAAAATTTTACTCTTATTCAGAGTAAAATTTTACTTTCATACAGAGTAAAATTTTACTTTAGTTTCAGAGTATAAAATTTTACTTTTATACAGAGTAAAATTTTACTTTTATACAGAGTAAAATTTTACTCTGAAATACATAGTGAAGATGGCTTAATACGAGAGCTGATAGATATGAGGGTAATATAGTAAAAGAAACAAGTTTTAAAATATCAGGGGGTTTTGAAAGTGCTTATATAATTCTTGTCCTTTTGAAAGACAAATTAGATAGTGAGGGGGCTATCACCAAATCCCATATCCTTGTAGGATTTCAAGGGTAGTGCTTAATAAATTCTTGTCCCATGAATGAGATAATTGTCCGTTATCAATTCCTATATTAGGATTTGGGAAAAAATTGCATTACCAAACTAAATTGGTAATTTGCAAATCCCAAACTGAACCAAGCACAATGTTAGGAGCTTGTGAACATTTGACAATTATTTTTGAAGATACCTTTAAGCAATTCAGAATGATCTGAGTATTTCTAAATTCTTTTTTGTATTTGCAGATAATCACAACAAATAGAGAATTTAAGAGCTTTAAAGCTTTTTTAATGATCTTCAGGCAAGTTGCCCTGACCTTGTTCTCTTTGTGTGTTCATATCACATTTCTTCTTTCATAAACTAGAAGTAGATTCATTTTCATTTCTTTATTTATGAGTACGAATAATACAACTTGCTTTTATCTATTCTATTAATTCATGTGGCTAAGCCCCTAAAAAAACCTATGAAGCATACATGATGAAGACCATTATCATGTGTTTAAGCCCAAGTGTGATGGATTCTGCATCAATACCCCCAAAAGGCACCTCTTCTATCTATTAAAAAGGATTCAATGACTATTATGGATTCCAAAACTATAAGGGAGGAGATGTGTGGGGCTTGGAAGGTCAAAACGAAATAGGGAGCGGGGGAAATTCCTCTAGGCATGATAGGGAACATAAAAGGCTCCAATATAAGGTAAATTTTGATAATCATAAGATTGAAGGGCTTGAGGCAAAGTGGTGAGAAGGTTAAGGTTGGGTGTTTGGTTGACAATAGTATGGTATTTAAAAAGCCAGTTAGGGCGTTCTTTGTCTTAATGGAAGAATTTTGAAGGGAGTTCAAGGAAAAGCATTTGGATATCACTTCGGATGTGGCTGTTGGTAAAGCTGGGGTACGTAGAAAATTTAATGTATAAAGAGAAATAGAGAATTGTATTATTGATTGATGTATGTTATCAATTACAAATGGTGAGGGGCTCCTTATATAGGAGATGTAGTGGAGTAGGTGGTAGTAGGTGGTAGTGGTAGGTGTGTAGTAGGTGGTAGTAGGTGGTAGTAGGTGGTGGTAGGTGTAGTAGGTGGAGTAGGTGATGGTAGGTTTTAACAGCCCCCCGCAAACTCAAGGGGGATAGGAACTAACCAACTTGAGTTTGGAGAGAGTAACAAAACAAGAAAATAATCTGAAAAATAAAAAATGGATAGGAGACACTGTATGGTCGTGTCAGACCGTTGTAGAAGACTGTATGGTTATGGCAGACCGATGTAGAAGACACTGGCTCGTGTCAGACCGATGTAGAAGACAGTTTATGGGGTCATG